ATTATTTTGCATATCAGAAAGTAAAATGGATGACAAAGAAATGATGAACAAAGTCTATATAAAAAGGCTGGGGCTGGGGCTCAGCGGTAATGCACTTGCCTGGCATGTGTGAGGCACTGGGTTTGATTCTCAGCACCACATACAAATAAATGAAATAAAAGTTTATCAGCAACCAAAAATATTACTAAAAATAAAAAATGCTTGACTAGGATCATACATGATGTGCATGTCTGTAGTTCCAGCTATTTAGGAGGCTGAGGCAGGAGGGTTGAAAATTGAAAATAAGCCTAGGATTTCATAAGGCCTTGTCTCAAAAGAAAAACTTAAAAAAGGGCTGGGGTAGAGTGCTTGCTCAGTATGCAATCTCCAATACAAAATGGAAAAAAACAAACTCAGCTAGGGCTAGAGTATAAATCAGTGGTAGAGTACATCGAAGGGTGTGTATTAGAAAATATTGTAATAACTTTGCAGTGGATTGGCACTTTGACAGATATAAAATATGCTGCCTTAAAATATTAAATGTCTTTTATTATGCAAGCAAGCTTGTATGAATCTGTTTTGTGTGTGAGGTATATGTATGTATATGTGTGTGTGTATCTTATCTTTTTAACAGTTCTGAATTTATTTCATTTTATAAACTTGGAGAATTTACCTCTGTTTGCAATTTGCAATTATATTTCAACATAATGGAAAGATCTACTATCAATCTAAATGTTTTAAAGTTCTAGATGGGGGTTTGGAGAAAAGGCACTGGATTTAAAAAGTCAGAACTTGAACTACCATTAGCCTTACTTAACAGCTAGTTTTCTGACTTTGTGTACCTTTCCTGCCTTTTCTGATTTTAAAGTTTCTCAGTTAAAAATTGGAGCTGATAATACCTGTTCTACTACCTCATGGGGTTTAAAAAAAAAAAAAAGTGTAGGTTAGTAGTTCTCAAAGTGTAGTCCAAAGACCCTTGGTGATTCTGAAACCCTTTCATTGGATCTACAAGTATCTTCCTTTGGCAAGATTTTCAGTATACTTGAACCAAAACAACACACAGCAACCCATTGAATGCAGAAGCCAATAAGTTGCTTAGGTCATCATGAAGTTGCTGAGGCTGGCTTTGAACTTGTGATCCTCTTGCCTCAGTCTCCCAAGTCAGTGGAATTATAGGCATGTGCCATTGGACCCAGCTCCAGCTGTATTTTTTTTTTGGTACTGAGGATTGAACCCAGGCGTGCTCAACCAGTAAGCCACATCCCCAGCCCTTTTTTGTATTTTATTTAGAGGTGGGGTCTTGCTGAGTTGCTAAGTTCCTTGCTAAGTAGCTGAGGCTGGCTTTGAACTTGCAATCCTCCTGCCTCAGCCTCCTGAGCCACTGGGATTACAGGTATGCGCCACTGTACCCAGCTCATTTAAACATTTTATACTTTTAATTTCTTATTTTTTTAAGTTGTAGGTGGACACAATATCTTTATTTTATTTATTTATTTTTATGTGGTGCTGAGGATCGAACTCAGTGCCTCACACATGTGAGGCAAATGCTTTACCATGAAATACAACTCTAGCCCCTGTACTTTTAATTTCTAACATGGTAAATATGGATAAATATTATCCACATAAATAATATCTTCATAACCATTAGTCCCTTTTTTTTAAAGTGTTTAAATATACGTTGAGATCAGAATTTTTAGAGCAGCTGATAAAGAGTAATGGCTAATTTGTTCCTGTTGGGACAGTTCTGCAGATTAAAAACTAGGGGAACCTTTTTTTTAATTACCAGATGACATTTAATAGTTACAAAAACGGGAGTAAAATTTGCAACTGGAAGAGGGAAATACCAGTGGGTAAGTTTATACTTTAATGAGTTTTTAGCATGAGGGTAGGCTCCAGTTGGTGACACAAGGGGATGGCTAAAACTGGGGTAACAAACCTGTACTCTTGCTTAAGGAAGAGGCTAGAGTTCAGAATGTCGGTGTATCTGGAAAGTGAAGGAGAAATCCTAGAGAGGATATTGGGGTGGTGGAATCATAAATGCTAAATATAAACTTGCTGTATATATACTTGCTGTGTATATATATTCTTTGCTGATTCAGGGTTGAATCTCTTGCCCATTCCTGATATGTACATGTATAGAATACCTTCCAAACAGCACACATAAGGCTAAAAAATCTAAACAGGTATTTTCAACTGTTGCCCAACGTTGGGGAGGCCACACATGGAGTTTAGTTCCAACCAAGTTAATTGTCTACAAAAGTAGCACTCTTTGAGGAATGTGACAGATTCTGAGAATCTCTTATATTAATCACAATTTTTAGCATATGATCTAAAATGACTACACATGGGAAAGAAAACAACAGGGAACCATCACCCTAATCAATGGACCCCCACAGCAACCCAAAGCTAGATTGCAGAGAAGATTTAAAACGGATATTATAACCATGGTTAAGGATATGAAGCTAAGTAAGGTTGTAAAAAATAGGAAATCTCAGCAGAGAAATAAGAAACTTCCAAAAAAGGAATGAAATGAAAATGTGAGACCTGAAAATATAGTATCTGAAATCTTAAAATCTCACTGAGTGGGCTGGGGTTGTGGCTCAGCTTGCCTGGCACACATGAGGCACTGGGTTTGATCCTTAGCACTACATATAAAAAAATAAATGGTATTATGTCCATCTACAACAAATTTTTTTAATTAAAAAATTAATATAACACCTGTGAAATAAATCCTGTCATCTGTATTTTATGAGTGAAAACTGAGACCCAGAGTGCTGAGTATATTGTTAAAAATCACAGTTTAGTAAGCTAGCCAAGCTGGAGTTTTAAACTGGCTTTCTAGAATCTAAGCTTTCACTACTGTGCTATTCTTCCTGCAGAATAAGTAACTGATCATACTGTTCTCACTCAAACATCTTAGCTTATTGCAAACACAACTGGGGTAACTTATATTCAGTCTCCTCTGTGAACTGACCCCCTCTTTCTTATTTCCTTTTGTTTGTTCTATGCCAAATGAATTCTTCTGTTATATAATTATTCATATACCTCTCAGTATTTTTTTTTTCTTTTTTGATACTGGGGATTGAACCCAGGGTACTTTATCACTAAGCTATGAAAGGGCTGAGGAAGCCCTTTTTATTTTTTATTTTGATGCAGGTTCTCCTTAAGTTGCTTAGGGCTCCCCTGAGTGGTCAGAGCCTGACCTTGAACTTGTGATCCTCCTGAGTCAGCCTCCTGAGTCACTGGGATTAGAGGCATGTGCCACTGTGTTCAGCCTTCCCAGTAATTTTTATCATTATAATTATCATCATCATCATCATCATTATTTTCCCTATTTATGTAAGACCAGTTCTCGTGCCTTGTTTTCCATTAAGTTACCTGTACTTATCTCCCCCTCAAAGCATGTTCATAGCATGTTTTCTGAACTGTTCTGATGGCACCACTTAATGGGGTTTTTTTTGTCTCCAGGTCTTGAACAGTACATGCTTTCAAATATTTTTTCTCTATTAGGCTTTTCTTCAAGAGTATTTGTTGAGTAAATTAAGAGTAATGAGTAAATGTTACTCGGACTATTAAACAAGATATTTGTATTTGCGGCTTTTTAGTGTAGTATTCCTCATTTCCATATGGTTCAATAGTTCATTACATTAATGCATTTTATATATATATAGAGAGAGAGAGAGAGAGAGAGAGAGAGAGAGAGAGAGAGAGAGAGGAAAATGTTTAGGATCTGAGGCTTTTTTTTTTTCTAAAGCAGTTTGTAAGTCTGGCTTAAGGTATTTCAATTTGAGACATTTCAATGATTTTCACATAATAAAATTTCTAATAGTGTTTTTTGTGGGGGCAGTACTGGGGATTGAGTCACATATCCAGCCCAATTTTGTGTTTTATTTAGACTGGGTCTCACTGAGTTGCTTAGTGCCTCACGGTTGCTGAGGCTGGCTTTGAACTCTGGATCCTCCCATGCTGCTAGGATTACAGGAATAAGCTACCGTGCCCGGCTCTAATAAAGATTTTTATTTGTTTATTTTTTTAAATCTCCCTGATGGTATTTTGAAATTGGGAAAATGTGAGAAATACAAGTAGTGGTTTTTGGTGAAATAACTTCTTGGAACAGTACCTACAATTTAAATTTTTGTTTATATTTTAGAGGATTGAGTTAAACTTCTGTATTTTCTGTTACCTTGTTGATGCTTAAGGTGTTTTAAAAATGATATGCGGGCTAAGGGTATAGCTTAGTTGGTAGAATGCTTGCCTTGCATGAATAAGGCCCTGGGTTCAATCCCCAGCACCACCAAAAAAAAAAAAAAAAAAAAAGAGAGAGAGAGAAAGAAAGAAAGAAAGAAAGAAAGAAAGAAAGAAAGAAAAAGAAATGGCAAGGGTTAAGAGGTTTTGTTTTAATTGGGGGATAAATGGGCACATGTTTGAATAAATAGGGTTTAAAAGTAATGCCTGGTGTCACACACCTATAATCTCAACAATCTGGGAGACTGAGACATGAGGATCACAAATTTGAGCCCAGTTTCAGCAATTGAGCAATGCCCTAAGCAACGTTGTGAGACCCTGTCTCAAAATAAAAAGGGTTGGGTATATAGCTCAGTGGTAAACTGCCCCTTAAATACCAAGTAACCACCCCCCACACACCAAAAGTAATACATGAATGTGGAGTCAAAAGAATCAAGTTACAGTATTCCTAAAGAACAATATTATTTATATAAAATTTTAAAACTTGCAAAGCAACAGTATACCTTGTTAAAGAATGGAAATGTGCAAGAGAGCTGTAAACACCAAGTTCAAGATCGTGGTTATCTTTAGAGGCAAGGAAGATGGGGGGACAGACTGAGGGAGAGATGCCAAGGAGTATCTACTGTGCTTGTGATATTTAGTTTATTTATTATTTTTTAAATATTTAATTTTTAGTTGTAGTTGGACACAATATCTTTATTTTATTTATTTTTATGTGGTGCTGAAGATCGAATCCAGGGCCTCGCACGTGCTAGGCATGCACTATACCGCTGAGCCACAACCCAGTGCCCCCGTGATGTTTATTTTCTGTGTTTTGCAGTAGGTGGGTAGTTTTTTTTTTCCCTCTGTATCTACTTGTCCATCTGAAATATATTATTTTAAGTTCAGATCTTATAGTTCCCTATCCATCCTTGACTTCCCCTACTCCTTAGTTTCTCTCCCAGAAGTAAACATTTTACTGGTTTCTTGGAACCTTCCCAGAGATGTGTAGTAGACATGTATAAAAGAAAAAATATTAAATCCTCTTACAGATAAAAAGCTGAATCAATACAGAGTTAAGTAAGTCATTTACACAGGGCCATAATGCTAATAAGTGTCAGAGGATTCAAACCCAATCTCTAGAGCTCAAATTTCTGGAGTCCAAACTTGTGTATAAATAAATCTTTCTCCCACTTTTTCAAATAACCAGCAGCTGGTGAGGCTAAGGCAGGAGGATCACTAGTTCAAAGCAAGCTTCAGCAACAGCAAGGTGCGAAGCAACTCAATGAGACCCTGTATCTAAATAAAATACAAAAAAGGGCTAGGGATGTGGCTCAGTGGTTGAGTGCCCCTGAGTTCAACCCCTTGTACCCCTCCCCACAAAAATAAATAAAATTACCATCCATTCCTTTTATATAAATAGTTTTCTGTATACATTTTACACTATGCTAGATTTTATTTTACTAATAAGATTAAGCATTAATTTTACTGTATCACATCTGCTTAACCAGCAGAAAATTCGATTTTCTCTCTGATTCCTCTTTTCCAAATACTCCAAAGGCTTCATAGGGGTGTTTTTATGTGTAATCCTTGTGTTTTCTTGGCTCTTCCAGTTTGTAGGTCATATTCACTCTGGGAGGTGGGGAGGAAGGAAATTTGGACTCTAGAGTTTGGGTTTGAATCTTCTGCTCTGCCATTTACTAGCAGTATGACCTTGGATAAGTGATTCAAGTCTGTTGATTTTTTTTTTTTAATCTGTAGGAGGCATTTAGTATTATTTCTTTTAGAGTTGTATTAAGAATTAAATGAGTGGAAGGTGCCTAACACATAGAAAGCATGGTAAAATATCAGCTATTTTTATTATATTATTGATTATCAGCTGTCTATGCTCAAACTATTGCCAGTCCCCAGACAGCTAATCCAGACCTCCACCATTGACCTCCTTTGACCTTGATCTATCTGGCTAGTGAGGTAACTTCATTCTCTTTTTCAGGATCTGCTCTTTCAAAGGGTGTTCTCTCAGTCACCTGGTGATGCCCTTTATAAGTACCAGAACACTCTGCACAGCTAGAACAGAGAAGGTGGTGAAGAATATCCTTCCACATGCCTAGAATGATGGCACTCCTGAATATCCTTATGCTCACAGTAGGCCTCTTGGCCAGAATTTTTCTTACAATTTCTTCCTTATGTAGGACTTTGTCCCTTGAGACTCATTTGTCTTATCCTGCCTTTCTTTCTTCTTCCTCCTCCTCCTTCTTCCTCCTTCTTCTCTTCCTCCTCCTTCTTCTCCTCTTTACCACTGAATTATATCCCCAGCCCTTTTATTTTTTTAATTATAGATGGACACAATACCTTTATTTATTTATTTTTATGTGGTGCTGAGGATCAAACCCAGTGCCTCACACATGCTAGACAAGTGTGCCACCACTGAGCCACAACCCAGCCCCACTAACCCTTCTTTTGAGATGGGTTTTGCTAAGTTTCTTAGTGCCTAAGTTCCTGAGGTAGACCGAATACTTGCCATCCTTCTGCCTCAGCCATCTGAGTTTCTGGAATTATAGGCATGAGCTTCTGTACCTGACATCCACCCCTGCCTTTTCTTACCTTCAGGCATATATGCTTATCTGTTGGAGTCCAGTTGAGAAGAGATCAGGAGTTAGTTTCTTTCTCATGGGGCTCCTGGGCTCCCATGTAAATCAGAGAATGTGGCCTGACATCTTTAAGGGCTCCTAAACTTAGTGTTACTGATCATTCCCCACAAACATTTTAGGATAGGTGGGCAGCTATGTCCCCTGAGTGCCAGAGGATCCATAAGGAACAATGGCAGCTCTACCCCAGACAGTATTCCTTATGTTATTCACATTTATAACTAACATTTGAATAGCAGTATCTATTACAACATGATTTTCATGTAAGTTAGCTCATTTAACTCTGAGGCAGGGATAAGTATCTCATTTCCATTTTTCCATTGAGGAAACTGAGCATTAGAAACATTATGGTTGCATAGATAGAAAAGAACAGAACTTCCTTTTGCTCATGCGTCATTCATATCAAGCTACCGTCTTATAAGGTGATCAAAGGCCTTGTTTACTGTTCAACAGAGTTTATATCAGTTATCATAATGGAGGAAATTAATATTAGCAAGTTTTGGGGTGAAATTAACAGGATTGAAAATCTATGATTTCATTTATATTTAGGAATCCTTGCTGCTCTGTAGGTTTGTATCAACTGTAAACAGTTTTTATAACACATATACACACACATATACACACACACACACATACAAACATATATTTTTATATTGCTCTTTTTCTCAGAGCCACAATGGATACTGCTAGCCATAGCCTTGTCCTTCTGCAGCAGCTGAACATGCAGCGAGAATTTGGTTTTCTATGTGATTGCACAGTTGCTATTGGAGATGTTTACTTCAAAGCCCATAGAGCAGTGCTTGCTGCTTTTTCTAACTATTTCAAGATGATATTTATTCACCAAACAAGGTAAGGATGTGTTTTTTGTATATTAGAAGAAGATTATGTATATTTCTCACATTACAATATTGAAAAAAGTATGTCTTATACTATCATTTTGTGTGCTATCATTATAGTGAGACCCCCTTTTTCTTGGTACTGGATCATCTATCATTTTATCAGTATACTATCATTATACTCAATTATGCATTTTTATCTAAATGTTCATTCATTCAAATATATTAAGCAATTTTATAATTGTCTTATATATCAGTAATTAAACTCAATATGTAGTAGATCTGTGGTGGAAGGTCAGAATGAAATTATAACTTAAATGTATTGAAGGCTTATCCCATATTGAAGTGCTAAATCTTATAATGTAATTCTACAGTTACCCCTATATTAGAGAAAAGAAACAAATTGAGTTGGTAAGATCGAGTTGCCCAGCCAGGATTATATAGCTAATATGTTAGACTCGGGTGCAGATCTGAAGCTAAAGGTCTATGCTCTCTTTTTAAAAGATATTTTTAGTTATAGACGGATATAATAACTTATTTATAATAACTTATTTTTTTATGTGGTGCTGAGGATCGAACCCAGTGCCTCACATGTGCTAGGCAAGCACTGTACCACTGAGCCATAAGCCCTGCTCAGGTCTTTGCTCTTAATCATTGAGTTGTTGATTTCTATTTCATGATACTTTCATAGCAAGATTTTGGTGTCATAATTCTACCTACCATGAACTCCATATTACAATTCAAAGGTCTTTTGTTTAAAATATGTTTTCAAAGACTTCCTTTATGTTTTTTGAATTTATATACAAGACAAATTTAGATATTCAGATTACGGGGTTGAGGGATACTGGGGATTGAACCCAGAAGTGCTTTACCTCTAAGCCACATCCTAGTGGTTTTTTATTTATTTTTTTGAGAAGGGGTCTCACTAAATTGCTTAGGGCCTTGATAAATGCTGAGACTGGCCTCAAACTTGCATCACCTTGCCTCACCCTTCCAAGTCACTGGGATTACAGGCATGCGCCACTGCACCCAATTTAGATATTCAAATTTGAAGCTCTGAATAGAGAGTAATTTTAGTCCATTCTAGATTAAAAGTGATTCAGCAGTCTGTTTTTCTTTAAAGAACCTTACATAAATACTTAGGAATCCAACCTCAATTATACATTTGTATCTAAATGTTCATTCATTCAAATATATATTAATTATTTGTTGATGTGTTGGCACAGGCCTATAATCTCAATGACTCAAGAGACTGAGCCAGCTTCTACAACTTAGTGAGACCTTATCTCTAAATGAAATAAAAAACTCTCAAGATGTAGCTAAGTGAGTACCACTGTATTCAATCCCTCATACCAAAAACAAAAAACAAAAAAACCAAGCCTGCACGTTATGTATATTAAGTACCTATGTGCCAGGCACTTAACTAGACCCCAGTAAGTGAAGTTATACACCCTGCCCTCAAGAAATTCGTAGTCTTGAAAAAAAATAGTCCTATAGATAATGCATGTAAAACAAATTATTACAATGTAATTTACTTCTCTATACCTCTCTTCTGTCTTGCCTGTAAAGTTTTAGAATAGAATAATCACCCCCTAGGGTATTTGAGGAGATTAAATAGATCAATATAGATTAAAATGCTTAAAACAAGAGCTTTGTTGTTACTAATAATACCATGTCTATCATAGAAGAGTGTACAAGGTAAAATAGTATTTCAGCAGCTGTACTGTGAAGAGACTTTACAGAGGTCCTAAATCTTGAAAGATCAGGAGTTATTCAGATAGAGAGGCCTATAAGAGGTATGTAGCAGATAGAAGGGGGAAAAAACAGCATGAAAACATATATATATATACATACACACACACACACATACATATACACACATACATGCACATATATGTATATGTGTGTGTATATATGTATATACATATGAACATTCAGACATTCTGAGTAGATCAGAATGATTGGAATGCATGGCACAATAGGGAGAGCAAGTTTGAGTGTAGAACAAGTAACAGGCAGCTTTTTCTGCCAGTCTAAGGAGTTTCTTCTCTGACCTAAGTGTCACAGTAGATTGCTTTCACTGCTTTAGAAGTGGCACTTTGTCTTCAGTCTCCTGAGAGCCATGAATTGGTTCAGCCCCTAAAGTACATGTTGTGTGCCAGGTACAATGCTAAACTGAACCTAGGAATTATGAAGGTTGCAAACCTGCTCTGTATTGAGCAACTAAAGAAGCCCCTCAGTTAATAGAGTTCTTAACTGGTATTTTAAAAAAAAATTGCCACAGGCCATGTCATTGGGTAGCTAGGTCAGAACAAAGAATGAAGACCAAGAGAGGAAGAGGGAATCCTGAGATATCAGGACTAAAGAAATGTATTGCAAGCATACTGACACCCAGTGCATTCTGATGCATTGACAGTGAGCTTCTGCTTCCGAAAGGTAAGTCCATTGACTGATTTCCATTTTCCCTTCATATTCAACAGTTTCCCTTAGGTTGTCTCTTTTCCAATTTTATAGGGATTTTCTGATCTCTTTTTTACTGTTATTTCCGTCTATTAACTAAATTCTAGATTCATATCTAAGAATCAGATTAGGATTACCTTAATTTAGGATTACCTTAATTAAAGTTTTCCAGAATTGTACCTATGTTCATTTGAGATTTAAAGAATAGAATATTAATGTATTTTGGAAGCCAAAATAAGGTTAACATAATTTACATTTTAAATATTACCAATTTCAATAGACTTTTTTAAATTTTAAAGTATTTTTATTGTGCATGGAGATGGTACATATCACTTCTATGTGTATGTATACCACCATTTTAACCATTTTTAATTAAACAATTCAGTGGTAGTAATTACATTCACAATGTTGTACAATCATTGCTGCTATTTACAAAACTTTTTCATCACCCTAAACAGCTTGTTGTAACTTCCAATTTCTGTGTTTAATTTGCCTATTCTAGGTATTTCACGTAAGTGGCATCATATAATAGTAGTCTTTTTGAGTCTGGCTAATATTACTTAACATAATGGTTTTAGGGTTCATGCTTGTTAATAGTCTGTATCAGAACATTATTCCTTTATATGGCCGAATAATCTGTTGTAAGTATAAAGCTGCATTTTGTTTATCTATTCATCTTTTGATGAGCACTTCAATTGTTTACACCTTTTGGCTACACTGAATAATGCTGCAGTGAACATTGGCATGTAGGTATCTGAGTCCCTATGTCAGTTCTCTTGGTTATATACTCAATAGACTGTTAAATTCCTTAAGAACAGAACATCTGGGCTGGGGATGTGGCTCAAGTGGTAGCGCGCTTGCCTGGCATGTGTGCAGCCCGGGTTCGATCCTCAGCACCACATACAAAACAAAGATGTTGTGACCGCCAAAAACTAAAAAATAAATATTAAAAATTCTCTCTCTCTCTCTCTCT